TCCAGGGTGGGATATGCACTCGCCAAGCGTCTGGACGAACTGGTAATATTCAACTCTAATTGCTAGTATCAAATTTCCGCTAGTCCGTTTCCCTGAATCTCGTAGGGGAAATTATATTCTCGAATCAAGAAAATCATATTTGAATCAAGAATTTGCGTCTGTTTGAATTTCGAATTTCAAAATTTGTTATCTAAGAGTAAATATTTTCAATTCAGAGAAGAAATTTTCGTGAAAATTGCAAATAACTTACTTCTGAATCAAGAATTTATTTTCTCTCAATAACAAAGTAAACAAAAAAATCAAGGCAAAATTGCAAGAAAAATGCAAATAAAATTATCCGTTTTTTTCTACTTTTTCATAAATTTTAATGTTCTTTCTTGGAAAATTGCGTTAAACAGGGGAAAGTTCACTCTTTGCCACGCATTTTTGCTCTGTTTTCCCATAAAGAAATTCTAAAATGCAATTGTACACTAATTTTCAGATAATTTTTTTCTCCATGATACATCTTTGATTAGAAAAAAATATATGCAATTTCTCTCAAATAGAAAATATTCCTGGGATTGACTGGGATTCCCCAATTTATTTCCTCTCCATCAAAGAAAGCACACAACAAAGAAACCCACCGAAAAATTGCAAGAAAAATACAACAAAAATTATTAAATATAAAAAAAAACAAATATAAAGGAAAAAAATCATCCTTAGTCGCCCCTTTGTTCCTAGATTTTCAATTTAAAAATCCTCAAATAGAGACTATTCCTAGGGCTTCACTGTATTCGCGGGCTTTCAAAATGCATCAGAGAACGAAGAGAAAGTTCAGAGTTTGAAAGAGGCAGGTTCCGGGAGGCTTCACGTCCTTCAACTCGACGTGACAAGCGAGTTGGACATACACTCTACATTTTTATACGTCAATGAAAACCTGCCGGATGGTGCACCAGGTAATCCATTAAATAATTGATTCTCGAAGGAACGATAAAATGTGAATTATTTGGTGGTGAGTATAATGAAAGCCTTCAATAAAAACCAGGTTTATGGGGACTTGTGCATGCCAACGCGTGGGTCGCACTGGGAGAATGCGAGTGGGTCCCACTCTCTGTTGTGAAGAAAAGCGGTGATATCAATTTTACGGGTGTTGCACGACTGACTCAAGTGAGTAGAAAAAAAAATGTCAGGAATGACAGCAATATGACAGATATTGCATTATCGGTATTTTCTCAATGCACGAGATTTTTTTTGTGAAGAAATTGATCTATTCCAGGTATTTCTGCCGCTTGTGAGGCGCTGCAGGGGTCGCATTATTCTTGTATCGAGTATTCTAGCTAGAATACCGAGTGCTGTTCGTGGAATTCAATGCGCAAATGGGGTAAATTTTTTATTAAGCTTTCATATGAACTCGCTCGTAAAATGTGTCACGATGCAGTAGCTATATATTTTCACGAGATTGACAGTTTCGTGGAACAAAATGCGACCATAAGGGAGAACAATTAAACAGTTGATGATCAATGTTCCATTAGAATGCCGGGGGAAATATCCCCTGGTACACATGATAATTAAATGACGTATTCGTTGCCCACTCAAAGCACGAGGAATAAAACAAACCATCGCAATATTCAATGCTTAACGGTGGCTATTGGACTGTTACGTTTTCAGTCGGAAATTATTTCGAATGTCCGAGGGATTAACCCAAATGATCATTGCAATAGGGAAGTGATGAAACAGGAGGAATTAAACCGATTTTAGGGCCATTTTTTATGGCTATTTCCGAATTCAAGGGAAATAGAGAAATTTCCGTGAAGATAATTTTTGTGAAATGAAAGGAGAGACTGCAGTTTCTGGAGAATTGAGTCATCTTAGGGCACGACTTCACTAATGATTTGAGTTCATCTTTCGATTCGAATCACTATTTTAATAGTAAGAGGTAGGATGAAGAAAATTACATTCATTTGGAGGTGAGTTTTTAAGAGGTACAAAGAGATTTTTGGTCATTTTCCGATAAATTTGTTGCATAGGGGAAAATGGGTCTAATGCAGACTAAAAATCAGGAATTTTCTACAAAATTTAGCACATTGTTTTTATACAGGGAACTTTGAGGAAAATAACTGATGCTAAAAAAAGAGATGTAGAGATAATAATGAATTTCGAATGACAAACCGAAACACGAGCTACTGCGCTAGAGATAATTCATATCAGGATGTGTTCGGAGAGCAGAATAAGAGCTACAAAAAAGCTTGTCACGGGAATTTCGCTGTTTCCCTTCGTCTCCGAGATGTTCAGAAAAAAATGGCTTTGTGAGACTGACTTTAAATGCCAAAGGGTTCGCAAAAACATTCTCCCAATCGAAATCACTGTTCCAATGGAGAAGTTATGAAACAGAGTACATCAACTTAGACCCAACAAAAGTTCAAGTCCCGTAGGAATTAACTCATCTCCTAGTGGTTTTACAACTTCACTATTAACCCGAGTTTCTAAGTAGAAGAGCATGAGCAAAATGAGAACTTTTCACTTATTTTCCAACGTTCATAACTGAGGAATAAATTGATCAGTTGAGCTCAGTTCAGGGTCATCACGAAGAAAAAAATTGCACTTTCCACGGAAAAAAATTATTCCACTTCATTAAAAATTCGATGAGTCGTCAACATTTGAAGAAAAATGACAAGTGATGCGTTTTGCCCCACTCCCCCCTATTTTTAAAAATACTGCATTGAGTTACTCAGGACCGTGAAAACTCGCAATGCAGAATTTTCAACCCACTTTTCCCATAAAATGTGCTTTATCATAATTTCAGGCTGCTCTCGAGGCGTGGGGCTCGTGTCTCCGCCTCGAAATGCGACGCTGGGGAGTGGACGTTGTAATAATTGAAACAGGTGACTACGTATCAGGCAACACGTGGTTAAAGGACAACATTACAATCCTGAACCAAGCGCGAGACATGTGGGTACAATTGGATCCACAAACGCGCAAGGAGTATGGTGAGGAATTATTCCAGAAGGAATTACTGGCATTGGAGAAATACACAAAGGGGCCAGAAGCTGATTTGACGCGTGTTCTCAGAGCACTGACAGACGGCATTGTCAAGACATTTCCACTGAAACGATACACTCCAGTAACTCGCAAGGAAAGACTCCAAGCCTTTGTCAGTGATCATTTTCCAAAGTCCATTTATGATATTCTTTACACCGAGTGAATCATAGATTCATGAAAATATTATAAATTATAGAAAGACCTCTTCAATGACAGAGATAATCGAATTGTTTCTTGCCAGCGCAAAAACCTGCCTTATGTATTTACAAGTCACATTATTTATTTATTCATTCAGTCAACAGTTTTTCCTCAACTCCATCACTCTATTTTTTGTTGTTCATTTTTGTCGGATGAAGGATTTAATAAAAAAGTGAAAATCTCATGGCTGATGTTATTTGATTTATTTTTTTTAATCAAACCCTAATGATTGAATCGATAAAATACTCTTTTGATATAGAGTCTTATCTTTTTTTTACGAAGTTCAGAATTATTTTACGTAAATTTACATTGTTTGAATTTTTGGTCAAAGTAGGATTGGTTTTAGAAAATTTTCATCCTATCAGTGAAAAATAAAATAGAAGAGAGAAACGGAGGAATCCTATCCTGAATTCAAACCACAAATATTAGAATTGCATATTTGCTAAAATGGATTTGCCATGAATAGAATTTATTGGTCTGTGTAACTTCAATGTATTTATTGAATCTGATATACCCTTGAATTGTTGCTTGCGGCATTTTGGCTCATCCCGACAAATCCCCAAAGTAAATAAACAAAGTAAACACACGAACTTCAATAAGCGATATTAAAAAGTTCGAATCAATCCTCTCGTGTATCCGCTCAAACACTAGTAACTCACATACAAATTCCCGAAAAATGACTCAATAAATATGAAAAAGATTTTTTGAAGATAAAATAAACATCGCAACGATAATAAAACAAAATGAAATTGAAGGTTTGAAGGACAATATTAGTCCGATAATTTTCATTTTTATCAATGATATAATACTAAAAAAAAAATACTGAAGAAACGTCTGGGGTGTTCCCTGCACCCCACGCGAGGGTTGAAGGTTTAAAAAATCGAATCAATACCCCCATTTATCCCCTCAAACACTAGTCAACATTAATCAACATTAATTAATACTAGTTAACATTAAACATTAGTTAATAGTCAAAATATCCAACAAATAACTAAATAAATAAATAAATACCTGGATCTTTCGAAACAATAGTCCGATTTTTTAATTCTTATTTCTCACTCGATAAGACACAATGTGAACTTCAATAAAATATCTTAAACCCGTCGTTACTCCCTCGGTTTTTAAACAAGTTCTTCCATACCGTTTTTCCCAAAGAAGATAAACACAACGACGATAAAAAAAACAAAACGGAATTGAAGGTTTGAAGGACAATATTAATCCGACAATTTTCATTTTTATCAATGACAAAATACTAAAAAAAATACTGTGAAAAAGTCTGGGGTGTTTCCCACACCCCACGTGATGGTCGAAGGGTTAAAAAATCGAATCAATACTCCACGTATCCCCTCAAACCTATTACCCCATGCAAAACCCAAAATGTCCAACAAATAACTCAATAAACAAAACAATAAATACCTGGATTCCCCTCAGCCCTCCGTAACGATCGCCAAAACCAGTCAAATGGAGTTGATCCACCGCGAAATCCGCATACTTCATCGACTGATCTCCCGAAACAATGGATGACAGTCCCCCAACGATTGTCAAATGTCAAACACCCGATTTTTCATTGTTATATCTCTCACTCGATAAAGCAGTGACGATTATCAGCAGGGATGTGTCCCTCCTCCACTAGCAGCAGTACTCGAACCCCCTAGGGACTAGGGACATCTGAATCCCTCTAGGCCAATTCTCCAGCCAATGAGGAGTCGACAGCACAAATGTAATCCTCGCTCGCTGTTTCCTGCGTCAAGAGCCACGTTTCTGGCTCCGGATTGGTGAATTCCCTTATGAAAACGTGTCCTACGATTAGAACAGAGACAGACGTGTGATTGTGACAAGGAGTTCCGACCAAGAAAAGGCTGTGAAGACGTCTGTTGGGAACCACTTGGGTTGTTCGTATCAACCGGCAAACGTTCTGGTGAAAGTCGTCAGCAAAAAATGTTGACTAAATATTTTTTACTCTGTCTTTTGGCCCTCGGGGTTTACGCCGGTGAGGACGATGTTCTCGAGCTCGGGGACAGCGATTTTACGAGTGAACTGGACCGACATGATACCACACTTGTCATGTTCTACGCACCCTGGTAAGTCATCAGTCAAATACCTGATTAGGGGAGAGGAGGGTGCAACAGCCGTCTTCAATCATCAATAGCGCAAAATTGGCAGAGTGAAATTTGGCAATTTTTCTTCCATTTTGAAGGTATTTTCTCAGGCTTCAAAATGAGAGCTGACTTGTGCCAATCGCACCGTTTGTTTCGGAGATATTGATGATTTTAGAAGGCCCAGTTTATCTCATCTTCCCCTGTGCATTTTTAATCGACGTTTCGATGGTCTCATTCTCATTCATTGTACTCGGGAACAGTTGGAGCCCGGCTTCGGGACGTTATAGGTTAATCTGATTTGTCTTCAGGTGTGGTCACTGCAAGAGACTCAAGCCAGAGTACGCAAAGGCTGCGGAACTCCTCAGGGGAAATGATCCTCCAATCACTCTGGCCAAGGTTGACTGTACTGAGGCAGGTAAGGAGACCTGCTCCAAGTACGGAGTCAGTGGGTACCCGACCTTGAAGATCTTCTCCAAGTCGAAGATGGTCCGTGAGTACGATGGACCCAGAGAGGCCGCAGGCATCGCCAAGTACATGCAGGTGAATATGTTTTTTTCGTGTTGCAGTGAAGGGAATTTTTTGGGGATAGATAACCCCCTGGGGTATCACTGGTGCTTGATAAGGGGGCTCATCATTTTGTTGTGGGAATTAGATATTCTGCACTGGGGATTTGAGGGGAAATATCGTTCTCATGTGTTTTTGAATGGAGAGAGTACATTTGAAGCAATCCAGTGGGGGAAATGAGGGGGAGAATAAGGAAAATTCGTTTCAGCTGAGTTTTTGAGAGATTTGTCTAGGTCTAAGAGAGGTGTCGATTTTTTTGCGCCTTTCAGTTTTGAAAGTATTTATGGAAACCCATGGCACTCATGGAACGAAATTCAACGACTACGACGAGTATATCAACGAAAAAATCTGTCATTTCTACGTACAATTCATGAAGTTCAACATTTTTTCAATTCTAAAACCTCAAAGGATTGAAAAACGTTAATTTTTGCCCGTTTGCCCCTAATTTATAATTCCACTCAAAATGATGTGGATTCTTCACGGAATATAACAAGGCTTAAACGTTGACAATACAAAAATCACTTATTGGGGAACATCTCTGAAATCAGTAGATTCTTCTTTTTGTTCTTTTTACAATTCCTCATGGTTTCAAAGATATTAAAAATATTATTCTTTCTGAATGTTTTTTCATTTCCTTTTCATAATAATAATTGGAGTTCGACTATAGGACATAAAGGGAAATAGAATGTCGCGTAATAGAATACCCGAATGAAGTTTCGAAAGACTTTTGCTTTGGGTGTTTGTTTTGATCACAAAAAAACACTTTTAATTGATCTTTAACATAACTCCTCTCCATTCAATGTTGTAACATGTCAATTAAGGAAACAAAAACATATAATAACAATAAGAATGGATAAAGTTGAATCATTAATCTAATTGTGAAGACGGAAATGGAGAGAAAATGAAATGAAACACAACAGTATAAACCAATCTAGTGAAATATGAATAAAAAACAAATAATAATAACGAAAAATTCTGTCGAAAATCTCCACAACTCCGAATCACGCCAAACCATCTTTCTGATAATTAAATAAATGAATTATTCCCCAGGCCCACGGCGGCCCAGCATCGAAGGAGCTCAAAACTAAAGAGTGTCGAAAAGCCTTCCTGGCCACCGACGAGGTGAGCGTTATCGGTTACTTCAAGGACCTCAAATCTCCCCTCGCCGTGGCCCTCCAGGAAGTCGCGGAGAAGCGCCGTGACAAGGCTCGCTTCGCCCACACCTCCGCAGAATCCCTCCTGGAAGAGGGTCTGACAAACCACATCGTCCTCCACCGTCCATCGGTCCTCGAGAATAAATTCGAACCCAGCACCGTGACGTACGAGGGTGAAGACTCCGTCAATGACATCACTGACTTCATCGAGAAGAACTCCCATGGTCTAGTCGGTGTACGTACCAGGGAAAACGTTAAGGACTTCAACAATCCCCTTGTCGTCGCCTACTATGCAGTGGACTACGTCAAGAACCCGAAGGGCACCAACTACTGGAGAAACAGAGTAATCAAAGTTGGAAAGAACTTCCCAGAGATCACGTTTGCCATTTCAAACAAGGACGACTTCCAGCACGAATTGAACGACTTTGGAATTGATTTTGTTAAGGGAGACAAGCCAGTTGTTCTCGCTCGTAACTCCAAGGACCAGAAATTCGTCCTCCAGGGTGAATTCTCAGTTGAGACGTTCGAGCAATTCGTCAAGGACTTCGTAGCTGGAAAATTGGAGGCATTCCTCAAGTCTGAGCCCATCCCGGAGGACAACTCTGGTAACGTCAAAGTTGCAGTTGCCAAAAACTTTGAGGAGCTCATCTCGAATTCTGAGTCCGATGTTCTCATTGAGTTCTATGCTCCGTGGTGTGGACACTGCAAGAAATTGGCACCAGTCTTCGATGAACTTGGTGACAAACTCGCTAATGAGGACGTGGTAATTGCCAAGATGGACGCAACAGCTAATGATGTGCCACCAGCTTTCGAAGTTCGAGGCTTCCCGACACTGTTTTGGATCCCCAAGAACTCGAAAGACTCACCGGTCAAGTACGAGGGTGGCAGGGAGCTCGAGGACTTCATCAAGTACATCGCTAAGCATGCGACTGAACCTCTCAAGGGATACGATCGCAAGGGCAAACCTGTCAAGGCCCCAAGCGACGAGTTGTAAAAATCATCATCTTTTCTGAGACTTTTCATATTTTTTTATTTTTCTGTTGAGTTCCGGGAGTTCAATTCTCAATTGAATAAATGCCAAGTTTAATTGCCTTCTGGGTGAATTTTCACTCCAATTAAATCGCCAACTTCCATTTTCATTGTCAGAGGCTTTATAGTTGATATTGTGTTATCGAAGCCATCAAACAGCACAAGATGATTGAGATTTGTAATTATGGTTGTGCGAGGGAAGATTCGAGTACTCAGTTAGGGAGAATTATGTTCCATTCCGGTATTTACTTGTCGATTTAATTAAGGATAGATTTAAGGAGGTATGAGAATTTTGTTTGTACGAAGATGAATAAATGGAGCGGAAATGATTTTTTAAATTGGAAAATTATTTTCCCAATAAATATGAAACTTAACAAATTGAGGTTTTTTTTTTATGAGTTGATTTCAAGCGCACCCAGAGGAATATTTAATATATTCATTTTTTGAACATAAATGGATGTTTGTTCAACATTTGTTGAAATAAATAGGAAAATTTCGAATAAAATCTATTTCATTTAATTATATTTAATTATTCATTCAAATTTTAATGGATTGAATTTAAATGAATAATGAAATTTAATTGAACTTGCGAGAGATGTTCAATTTTTCAATCGATAATTGATCGGTTCTGATGATTAATACATAAACCAGTGAGAAAATCCATTATTTCCAGTAGCTGAGAGGGGGAATCATTCATATGAAGCATTTCAAGGCATTTCCCACCCACACCAAGGTCTGGGAGATGCTGCCACCTAGTGTCCACGAAAATAATCGAAGAAAACTGGGGTATTTTCAGTTTTATGAGATCTCATTGGCTGATGACTCTCCGTCTCCCTCCAATTGCTCCTCTTGTGAGCATCGTTTTACACGAATGTCGGTGAGTGTTTGTAAAACGAAAACGACCACATGCAGAGAGTCAACGGCCATAGACCACGTCGGAGTTGTTGGTCGTGTGGAGTTGGGAGGTGAAATTATATTTCTACCTGTTAAATTTCTAAGTACTTGTTGGTCGGAGGTCAAGGCTGAAATAAAAAACATGACCCGTAAGTGTTTTGCGAAATTCAGTGATTTTTCGGTGAATTTGTCGTGGTTTATTCGCCGGCGTTGACGATTTTTCGCGGACGAAACGACGTCACCTATCGTTTTTCACTTCTTCGTTGTCGTTTTCATTGTGTTCATCGTCATTCACTGTTTTTTATCGCCTTCTGACGACGATTCTGCTCCTTTTTTCTTATTTTTTCCCACTTGTGCTCCGTTTTGAACAGTCCTGAGTCTGATAGCAAATTTTACTTTCGATGACCTCCATATTTACGACTTGTGTACGTGTTGAAATTTATACCAACAGATTACGTTCAGAACATTCAATCAAATCCCTGCAGTCCCAAAAATCCCCAAAAATAGCATCTGCTTCGATGTTTCATCACGAATTTCCCTTCATTTTTCCCTTATGTTATGTCGTATGTTTCTCAACTAGGGGCCGGAAATCTGGTTTAGAATTTATTTAATTATCGCCGGGAGTTATTTTGGAGTGGAAAGACCTTTTATTTTGAGTTCTGACTATATTTAGTTTGACGAATGTTTGTTGTGATACATTGCGAAATTATTTTGACACAAATGGGACTATGTAAACATAAATATTGACGAGACTATATTTCGACGACTTTCTACGAATTTATCCCGCCAGAGGTCAAAGCTGAAACAAAATAAAGAACATGACCCGCAGGTGTTTTACGAAATTCTGTGATTTTTCGTTGAAGTTATCGTTTATTCGCGAGCGTTGACGATTTTTTGGGGATGAATCAACGTCACATATCATCTTGCGCTTCCTCGTAGTCGTTTTCATTGTTCTGCTTTTTTTTTAATTATTTTCCCACTTTCACTCCGTTTTGAATATTCTTGAGTTTGCCAGTGCATTTTTACTTTCGATGACCTCCATATTTACGACTTGTGTACGCTGTTGAAATTCCTGCCAACAGATTCTATCCAGAACATCCGATCAAATGTCAGTAGCTCCAAAAATCCCCAAAATAGCATCATCTGCTCCAATGTTTCATAACGAATTTCCCTCCATTTTTTTCTTATTTTATATCGTAGATATTTCACAACTTGTGGTCGAAACTCTGGTGTACAATTTATTTAATTATCGCCAGGAGTTACTTTCGAGTGGAAAGACCTTTTATTTTGAGCTCTGACTATATTTAGTCTGACGAATGTTGTGGGTACATCCTAGCGAAATTATTTTGAACGAATGGGATCGTGTCAACATACATATTGACGAAATTAAAATTCGATTTTTCGTCCATTTGTCCATTTTGGTTTTAATATACATAACTCAGAAAAAATATTCTATTTAATGGGAATTAAGTGACAGTTTCAGTTATTGATGGATTAAATATGGAAACGTGAGCTCGAATGTCTTTTCGAATTTTCTTCGTATTTTTGGCTTCCCGCTATAACATCCTGAATTCATAAGCGGATGAAAGTTATTCAAAAAAATTCCATACAATGTAAAATCCATTTTTTGTATCAATTGATTTCCACAGGTGGAAATCAGCGTGACTTAGCTCGTGCTAAGAATTTAAAAAAGACTCAGAAGAAAGCTGCTGGAGAACAAGATAGTAATAAGGGATTGACACTGGAACAACGAAAACAACGGTAAAACTATATTTCCACTTAGCAACACTTCCCCAAAACTTCCCTCCAATTTATGATGATGAATCTATCGTTTAAGCAATTCACTCAAGGGTTGATTTTTATTTGGTTCCATCTTCTTTCACTCCTTGGTGATCAAATGATTCTTCCTTAAAATTTAATTCATCTAACGATTTTCATTTTTTTTGAGAATTGGTTTTTCAATGATTTTTCGTAAAATCATGTGTTGGTAATTGTTATCAACGAACTGGAATATTTTGTTGTGTTAAAACTCCTTTATTCTCGTGTTGTTGAGTTAATCTCCGGGCATTCCTCCTGCGACGTGCGATTTATTCAAATGATAACAAAAATTTTGCATAAATTCATGTTCCAGTGATGCCGAGAGAATGAGAGAGAAACAGCTTAAAAAGGCACAAGATGAACAGGGCAGTATAAAACAGCAAGGAGTTCGGTAATGACTCTAAAATATCCCGACAATGTAACAATAATAACACCAAGTTATACGAAGATAAAAGTAAAAAAAACGAAGTAAATAAACCGCGTTGAAAACCCACAAAAATCGAATGAAAATTGCATTGATATATACACGGAATAGAAGCAAATTAGAGACTTTGTTACAGCAAATTTTGGAATTTCTTCTCCACGTGGAAAATTTGTATATCATTAACTTTAACTAGAACCACATGCCATTGATTGAACGTTACTTAATATTCGATGCTCACTCTAAAATAAATAGCCAATTTGTATTAGCAAAAGTAATTGCATCATTAAACACGAGAATGGAGGGACGATGAATCATTGCGATCAGTAATAAGATTCGTCCAAAAGTTGTAAAATAGCGTTAAGACAGTAGATTAATTATTGTAATTTTTAAAACCTAGAGAAAGTAACTTTCTAAAATTTAAAATAAACGATTGTCGTGTAATCAGTAGTCATGATTGACGCAGCCTTTTCGTTTGTGTAATAAATCTATCAAAATTTTTCATACCATATCTATTCTTACTGTTTCACTAGATGATGAAATTTTATTGCACTTTCCCAAAAGAAAAACAAGAGTACATTGTCAATTTCGTGCCTTGACAAGTGAATTTCAAGCTTCATAATTTCTCGTTATTCTCTTTAACCAGCAAATACGTAATGAAAATAAACTGAGAATGAAAATATTCAATATTCGAGATATAAATATTCGTGTTATTTCTCATGGTAGTTTAAATCGATCAACACAGACCAAAGATATTTACCTCTAATATAGTATAATTGGACTCATTACGTGTTTAAAGTCAAATGACTCGTCACAAACCCTTGCACTTTTTAATTCCTCTAATCCCATCTAATCGGTTCGATTTTTTTTCAATTTTTAATAAAATTCAGAAAGCAGTGTTCTTAATTTACGGTGTTAGAAGGGCAATTAGAACTCGAATTTTCGTACCTCATCTTCATACCACGTCAATTTTTACTGATTAAACCAGGTGACGAAAGAAAAAAATACGTTCACATTTTCCAATAATTTTATTGCACTTTCCCAAAAGAAACAAGAGTACATTCTCAATTTCGTGCCTTGACAAATGAATTTCAAGTATCATAATTTCTCGTTATTCTCTTTAGTCATCAAATACACAATGAAAATAAACTGGGAAAGAAAATATTCAAAATTCGAGATATAAATATTCGTATTATTTTTCATGGTAGTTTAAATCGATTAACACAGACCAAAGATCTTTACCTCTAATACAGTATAATTGGATTCACTACGTGTTTAAATTCAAATGGCTCGTCACAAACCCTTGCACTTTTTAAATCCCTTCAATCCCCTATCGATTTCGCTTTTAGAGACGAGTGAGGAGATGATGCAAATGAACACACATCGTCAAAATGAATTCTAAACAATCTATTTACAAGTTTAATCGAGAGTCTACGAAAATAAAATTCAAAAAATACATTCAAATTTTTGTTTTCTAAATTTTCCATAAAAATCCAGAAAGCAGTGTTCTTAATTTACGTTGCTAACAAGCCACTGGAACTCGATGTCTGAATTTTATTCACTTGATTCGTCAACGTTTCAACGTTACAGCCAAACGGCAAGAGTTTCTCTTTCGTATACATATGCTTTTCCCATACATTTCTTCCATCTTTCTTCGTATACTGTCAGTCGTATTGTATTTATTATAACAATAACAATGCGCGGGTTAAATTCATCAAACTATTTTCACTGTAAATTGTACAGAGAGAGATATTACCTAGAACGAAATTGGCCAGTTGTTTAAGCGTTCAATTGGCAGATAATCATGAGTTATTTCTTGAGAATTTAAAGAGGAATGTTGATAATCTGCGGTATAATTGAGCACCATGCGAATCACTCGGGTTTCAGACACTCTTTCATAGCGGGTAAAAATAATATTTGTTTCTAACTGATCTTGGAGGGCTTTACGAATTGCAATCTACTGATTATCGGGAGAGATAAGGAAACAGCAGAATATTTTTATTCCTACTGGTCTAATTCAATTGGGGTTTTGCATGACTTTTTTCTTACTCTCACAAACGAGGATGGAATGAAGAATATAGATTCGTACTTTCGTCATTTTTTTAAATAATCATTGTGAAACGCTTGAGCAATTTTTACACTGTTGGAAAAAGTCGTGAAATTTTCAATAATATTCAATAATATTCATGAAATTTTCAGATATTTTGCTGCTGAAAATTCATTTAATTTCTTGAATATTCATTGAAAACCAATTTTTCAAGTCTATACGATTATGGAAATGATCGAAGATGATGAAAATTCAGGCAATTATGACTCTGAATGCGTAATCTATTCAACATTTAATAAAGTGTGATATTAAATTCTCAATGAGTTTCAAAATTCACATGTGACTGTTACTTGAATTTCTAAAAATTTCCAACAGTGTGCGCAATTGAAAAAATTCTTGATAATTGGCTATATCTTCTTCAGTCCTCACATGTCAACATAAAAAATCGTCTCCACTGTTTCTATCCTACTTCCATATTGCATTATTTATGCAACTGAAAAAAAATCATGCAAACCACCAATTTCTATTGTAAATTATTGCGGTGGGGCTTAGAAACTACGGATTTTCTGATCATTATGATAGCACCATTGCTTCGTCTGAAGGAGTAGAGCAAAACTTCAAGGAAATATTGAATGATCACACGAGATATTCCCTGGGAATTGAAGAAGAGAGATTCCCAAAGGCCAAAGGAAACCAGAAATGCTACTGGCGTTGGAGGAAGTAGTTTGTGAGAAGAATTATTGAGGAATGTACGAGCTATGAATAATTGGGGTATAAAGTAGTAATAACGATGAAATAGAGACCACCGACGCTTGTTTAACTAAAGATTGAGGGAACATATGGAGCAGGATTGTGTGATGCAGTGGGCGTAGTGACGGGATTGATGATGATGGTGGTGATGATGATTTTGCGTCGGTGGTTGCACCGGTGGCTGAACGTAGAGCCAGCTTGGGGGACTGGCTGGCCAACCGACTGTTGCGCGAGGACGAGCGGGCGACGAGGCAACTATATGTGAGTGGCTTGAGCCGGAGTCACGAGAGTTGCCTCCTAGTCCACCCTCTACTCACATGACCTGAAATCAATATTGTTCCAGTAAAAATGTTTGAATAATTAAATTTACTGAATTGGTAAAACATAATGACTTGACTCCTCACGTCTCGTAATTACGAAATCATTTTCTTTGACTCTCACTTGCGACAGTTTTTTCTTCGTAATTAGTGACTCGAGGGGGAAAAAGAGACATTTTTGGAGGAAATTTCTTGATGCACAAAAGATGGTTCAATCGTTTCTCAGATTAATGAGAAGTTAACAAGAATTCACGTTTAGTGGTTAAATCGTGTTGATTATTCATTTAATAATATTCAAGAACTTGGTATTTTTTTAATTTAAATCATTTTTAATATTTGTGATTGAATATCAGACGTTCCATTGGCTCTATGTTTCTCACCCCTTTGGAATCATTACACTACGAAACCTGAAAAGTCTAAATTTGAGAGGCGAATAAAGTCTACTTCCTGAGAAAGGTCCACAACATCGTTGAAACGTTACAATTTTTGAATATTACGACATTGTTTTTTCAATAATTTAAGAACAATCAATTTCCCACGTTAAAACCCCTTTTTTTAAAGCAGTAACTTCGGTCGTATTCAAAAGTGTGGCAGAAATCGATTTTACGATTCCATTATTAATTCATCAGAAGGGGATGAATTTGATAAATTCATGATGTAATTATAAACCGACAATTGAATTTTTTACACCTCGTCAGACATGAGTTTTCTCACCCGAAAGTTCTCTTGGGAATTCTACCCCAAAACCTACTGCTCTTCAGACGAATAAAAATTAAAAAATCTCAATCAACAACTACACAACAATAGTTTACCTGTAGAATTTGACTAGCCTCGAAAGCCGTTCCCGGAAGGAGTATAACGGGGCTACTGACGTGTCCGCTCTCAACGCAAATCATATTAGGAAACTCATCATCCCCAAAGTCCGGGATATCCCTGGCCTTCTCCTGCCACGGATTCCAAACCACAGTGTCCGGAAAATTGTACTTTTGCACCCGCATTTTCCGTCCCGAAACGACATTGGTAATAATATGCTCCGGCTGAGTGTTCTGATAAATCCTGTCAGTCCACTCTCGCACAGTAACGACATCCAAGCCCTCTTGGAATATCTGATTGTCCCTCGTCTGCAAGAATTATGCACCGAATAAATCCACCCGATGAACTGATTAATTAATCATTCAGTGATTTACGTAATTATTGAAAGTAGGGAGGGAAAAAATGAATCAGTGATAATTTATTATCTATTGAAATACCTTGTCGATGAAAGTGCAACCGTGGAGACCAGTTATCTGACATCTCCTCACATCGGGGACCTTGAAGTACGTGTGTAGTAAAAGATTGAAGCTGAATGTGTGCTCTTTGCTCGGATTATAAACACCGATATTGAAGTGTAATTCTTTCTCACGCAGTATCAGTCTGTAGGTTAAACGAAACGGATAATTCCACATTGAACGAGTGAACTCGTTGTCCATTATTGAGAATATTGCCTCGACATCGCCACTTGGCATTCGTTCTGGTGCTTTTTCCACGTTCCAGCGCATAATGCGGGCGAAACCGTGACCTGGACCGAAAGTCCATGCTCCAAATTGCGCTAGATATCAAGGCAAACACCGAAATTCATTGACATTTTTATTCGTTCCAGGGAATCGTTTAATTTTGGGATAATTTTGATTTTTAACACTCCGTTGCTCGCGCTATGAGCGCCGCGCCGCACTTTTTCAGATTTTTTTAAAATTACACAGCAGTAAAGCCTCAGAAAAGTTTGAAACAATTTGACATCTCATTTTGAAGTGTCTAGAAACCCTATCAATGAAAATATCTGCCAAAAATATCAGTAGTTAGATTTTCAAATTTTTATTCCGGAGAAATAAAAATTTTTACACGGAGCTCCGAACCGTGTACCGTGTAAAGGCGAATTTTCCGAAAAACATGGCAACTCTGAGCTTGAATAGATAATTAAAGGGAACACTGGACATACAAAATCTCACGGGACTTCTTCAAGTATACGATCTAGATCACTCTTGATTTTTTTCAGATTTTTCTTAGATCTTTCAAATTTATCATTATGTCGATTTATGCTGGCGCGGCGCGGCGCGTACGGCGCGACCAACGGAGTGTTGAAAATAATTGATTTTTTGAGTTGTTTCTCGATAAGTTCCCCTCCACTGAAATTCATCAAATTCATCAAATTCATCAAATTCAGTTCAATGGAACCCAAATGGAATTTCATTTACTTTTTGTTTATGAATCTACCGCTTCCTGTTGGGCTAGGTACGATTTTCAGAAACAAAATAAAATTTTTGAGTTCCTCCTCTGCAAATTCCCACTGACTGGAATTCATCAAGTTTAGTTCAACGAAACCGAATGCGCCCATCCGATAAATATCAAGTGTCATTCGTTGATGTAACAAAATCCTAATTCATATTTGAGGTAATCTATTCGCATTTAAAAATCAAACAACTCTACAGATTCGACAGACAAAAATTTCATGACTTGAAACATCTACAACATTTTAACAATTGACAACAAATATTAACAAAATCCATTCCCAGTAATTGTTACACCCAACAGTCGCCTACAATTGGCGACATTTGTCGCATTAAACTGAAAATACCCCCACAAAACCCAAGAGCCTCCTTGATGAGAGAAAATAATTTACAAGATGATAAACAAAAATAATATTGAGATATCGCGTGTCTCGGTTCGCTTCCTCTACTTACGAAAGACAAATGGAATTCCACCTCTAATGGCCTTCTTCCCGTCGAACACCGCTTGCTTACTGAAACATGACAACAAAAAACAAAAAGCAAGTTAAAAAAAAAATGCGGAGAGAATTGGCGAACATGACTAATGTACAAACATAACTGCCCAGTGTACAACATAATCGATATTGAATTCACCTCCTTAAACACTCTGGCAAAATGAAAGAAGGGGATCTCTGGAAGACAATGCCCGAAAACAAAGTGTATCCTGTTGTCCCTCCGATGAGTTTATTTCAACCTTCCATCACTCTCCTCTCATCCGCGTTTCCTTTCTCTTTCTTCTCCATCTCTCCTCTTTTATTCTTCCACCACTCGTTTTTTTGTATCTACGCTTTCTCTACTCCATTCGCTCATTCCACCTTCACACAGAAAAGAAGGGGGATAGGGTGAAAAAAAAATAGGGGTGGTGGGGGGAGTGGGGTAACTCTCTCGCATTCGTCTCCAGCGCGCGCGTTTCGACTCATCTCTTTTTCCTACCTTCAAACCGTTTTTTGCTGTCCCTGTTTTCTCCTGATGAGCACACATTCTCCTCTTCTATTCTCCCGGTGAAATATACAGGTATATTATAACGTGTAACGGATGCAAAAGAACTGGGCAATTCTCGGTAACCAACTATTTTACAACAAACCCTAAAAGAATTTCATGGCTCAATGGGTGTATTCCGTATCGATTAATTTTACATTGTTTTTTTTTGTTAACTATTACATCGAGCAGGGAATAGTTGGCGTTCTATTTAAGGGGGTGAATTTATGCGTAAGGGAAGCGATACGGTTTTAAAACAACTGTTCAATTCTATTCTTCACTCCTGAAAATTAATTTTTATTGCGATAGTGAGACTATCCCGAAATTCTATCTAATAATGTTCTCGTCGGTCACGAAATCGCGGAACTCTATAAAACTCCCTTCCTTATAAAAAGTGAAACGATAAATTTCATAAAATGGTTGTTTCGTCCATTTCTTTTGAGGTGACGGGTCAAACTTCTTGACGTCTTGCATTCATTTAGATCGCATTGCAATAACTTTTGCATTTTTTCCTCAATCATTTCTGATAAGTAAATTTATGTGCCTGAAGTGGAATTCCTTGTGACTTCACACTTCGCTTTTTATTATTCTCTTCCCGCTAGATTTGCGAGTACTTAAAGACAATAATATTTTAGAAGGCATTCCATTTACGGAAATGGAAAAGTTCTGCTTCATTCATTCAAATTGCATGATAACAGCTAACTGTTGCAATGTTCAATTTTTTCTAGAAAGTGAATTTATGCACCTGAAGTGGAATACCTTGTGGCTTCATACTTTGTTTTTTATCATTCTTTTCCTGCTATATTTGCCAGTAATTGAAGACCATAACATTTTACAATTCATTCTGTTTATGGAATTGGAAGAGTTCTGTTCTTCCCCTTCCGCCTATTCCATAAATCGTATCCAATGATATTCTGTGACGTTATGAAAATTTGGAACTCTATAAATCCATTTATTTTTTCTCTATAAATCTGTAAATCTATAAATCTATGAATCTTTCTCGATAAATCTACATTTTATGAAGTTCTTAGTTTTGAGGCTGACGCGGCCATAATTTTTTATATCATTGGCTTCCGAATGAATCCCGCGTCTAGTTTCAGCAGTGCGCCGCTTCCGCGATTAATTTCACTTTTCGACCGCAATATTGAAACCAAACGTGGCATCCATCCGGAAGCCAATGATATCATTTTATGAAGTTACTGTCAGGATATATTTCAATGTTTTTCAATGTTGTCATTTCTGATTTTTCCTTTTTTCTTTAATGTTTTCGAGTTAAAAAATTCAATTTCATTCTGATGAGGAATGCCTTTATAACTTCATGCTTCGGGGAGTTTTGTTTTTTCATTTTATTTTTTACTGCGGTATTCGTCACTAATGGAAAATAATAACATTTTGCAATCAATTTTTTTTATGAAATTGAAAAAGTTCCGTTTCAAGCGATGTATAAACCCATGCATTTTATGAAGTTATTATTTCCCAAATATTTTCACATCTCTGATTTTTATTTTTTTTATTTTTTTCACTGCGATATTCGCAACTGACTGAAAATAATAGCATTTTACTTTTACCTCTTCAATAAAATTTACTTTATTTCTCATTTTCACATTTTGCATTCATTCAGAATGCAGATATCAGCTTTTCTCATTTCTCTCCATTGTTTTCTAGTAAGAAAAAATTACGCACAATATGATTTTATAATTTTACCTTCTCATTTATTCACGAAATGATGAAGGTCGTGTTCAGCACAAAAATTGTATAAATGATTCCTACGAATCATCTCGTTACTCAGCATTTTCAACAGTAGCCGAAGGGTTTCGACACAGCGTAGCATTTTGTTGTTGATAGAAAAAGAGTAAGGAGAAGAGACGAAGGAAGATCACAGTGAGTTTGGTTTAATCCCATCGATCGATCCTGCCTCACGATCACTATCCTACGTGGATAAAAAAGCATCGAAGGGACCAAAGGGTGAGAGAGAGAGAGTGAGAGAGAAGGACAACTACCAGGGATTGTTTGTCTCTCTCATTCCCTGCAGAAAGGGGGGAAAGCGATGTAGCGCGAAGCTGCAGGCGGTGGTGCGGTGATGGTAGGGAACGCGGCTGACGCCCAACAAAAACTATCGCCGCTGTCTGGTGTGCTTTTTGTGGGCATCGCAGAGTTCCCAACCACCTCCCTCCCCTCCCACTTCGTTCCTCGTCCTCCACCATCCATCGTCATATGTATACTTGGTTTTCTTCGTGCATGGTATAGCTTGTAACGCGCATTACGCGTTTACTTGTTCAACATATTGGGGAAGGATTGGTGATTTTATTTGGTTCTGACTAACCATGACCATCTGCAGAGAAAGAAAGGTTTCACTCTTTTGTATTTTTAGCTAGTGTTTTGGGATTTTAGTCGTTTACTTTGAAATTCGCAATGTTTTGCAGAAAGTAATTGACTGTTAATTGTATTGAGAGATGTTGTCAAAGGGTGTCATTTATTTGCAAATATTATTGGTTGATTTGATGAAAATACTATGAAATTTCGTGTCAAATTGACGATAAACGAACTATTGTGCCACAGTAGTTTCTTAAATATCAAAAATAAATTTTTTTAACAAAAAATGATCTCAGTTCTTTTAACTATCGCTTTGAATATGCATTTATATAGACTACAGCCAGAGAAATGATTTATTTGAATTAAATGGCCTCATTTGAATCCAATAAATACTATGTCAGAGTGAAATAAACAATTTCTTTGATTCAAATAAAGTTTATTGAATTCAAATAAACCGTTTCTCTGGGTGTAGATTTTCTCCACATTGGGAAAGGATTGGTGATTTTATTTGGTTCTGATTAACCATGACAATCTGCAGAGAAAGGTTCCACTTTTTGTATTTTTAGCTGATGTTTCGGGATTTGAGTCGTTTGTTTACTTTGAAATTCGCAATGTTTTGCAGAAATGAATTGACAGTTAATTATATTGAGAGATGTCAAAGGTTTATTGGCAAATATCATTGGTTGATTCATCGAAAAGACAATGAATTTTCATTCAAAACACTCAACTTATGCCACTGTAGTTTCTGAATAATTCAATCTTTTTCACATCATGCATTCATTCATGCACTTTTCCTTAATGGTTTCTAGTAAAAAAAATTATTCACCTGTACAATACCATAAATAACTTTGATTGCTGTATCTTATAAGAAATATTGTCTGCAAAGAATTAAGTCGACACGAAGTCACATAAAAATTAATTAGTCGTCAATTATGTTCTCAATTCGAAAATAGTGTTCTTCGTCTCCATCTAATGGTTCAAGTTTTGTAGATTGAATTTTCGAAACAGAAAGCCCTCGACTTCCAGCATTGAAACACTGAAGTAGAAAAGATACAATAAAACTTTTAATTCGAAGATTCCTTCATTCCCGATTTCACGGCTACCGGGCGATTCTCGAGTCCTCCAATCTCCCTCGCTCCTCCCTCAACCCCATCGTCCCGTAAAAATCACACCGGATCTCCGCATCATCGGTGCCAGCCTCATGCATTTCTACACTCAACCGCAAATGATTCCATTGAAACCAATGCATTTTTTCATTACATTTATGTTCGTAATAAAAAGTTGGTAAGATTATTGGTTACTCATACATCACATGTAAACATTGTGAAATCGAAGACGATCTCTTCAATTTTTAAAATTGATATAATTTCAAACTGACATCCAACTGCTTTCTACTTGTGCGATTTTTTCGTTGAAGTCTTTCTTCATATTTATACTCGAACATCAGGCTTGTTATTCAAGCCCCATTCTACCCCACGTTACCAATCATTTTCGATTATTTTATTATTCAAACCCCGATGATCTAGATTGTACTGCTCATCTTGACCCGATAGAAAACACATTAAACAAATTTCAATTTTTCGCAATTACAAATTTCTTTCACCAATAATTTATAAACAACACAGTTTCTAATTCTGTCGGAATCGTAACAAATCGGTATTTAGCCCAGCGAAATGCCACATTTGAATAAACTCACGTATTTACATTTGATAAACTCATGTATTTATTGAAAAAAAGCAATAAGCTCTATAACACCTCACGTACGGGACCCTTCCCTTCTCCGCCTGACATGACACACAATATCCCTGAAATTCGGTGACTTCTGATGAACGAAAAATTATAAAACGTAAATGTAATTGGTGCAAAACCATTCAGTTTTCTGATGGCGCTGGTCAAATAGCATTATCTGCCATAGTTTTGGAGATATTCAATTTAGAAAACAAAACGCGTAACATCAAACAACTTGCATTTCGCAAGCTACTTAAGGTATTAAAGAGCGATTCCAATGCACACGGAGAGAAATATTCAATAAAAATTACGTATCTTTTCCGTTATTCCGGAGCGAAATGTGGCTGTAGGAAATTTTACGGAACTGTCACGGAATTTCTCCAGAGCGTTCCGTAATTTTTATCTGAATCTCCTGTGAAAAATTACGATACCGTCACTTAAATTTTCTGAGTCG